ACACACACACACACACACACACACACACACACACACACACACACACACACACACGTCACTCTACAGTACCTGTGGCTGTGAATGAGGGCATTGAAGGCCAGTCCATCATTCCAGCTGCTGGAGAAGTTAACCACGTTGACCTGAGGACAGATGCATGAAATATTGAAGAAGCAGTGTGTGAATGCAGCAGGACACCCACAGCTGAGCTGGTGTCCCTCAAGCTCTGGTTTCTGTTTCATTAAAAACACCACTAGAACAGGAGGAGCTGCCAAGACAGAAAACACTGAATGTGGAGTTCTGGTTCTTCATGAACCAAAACTTTTGGAAGTAATGAGTAACCACAAGAATGTCCTGATGCATCTCAGTAAAGCAGGTAGAAAAATCAAAAAGAAAAAATAAGTAGGTTCTCTAAGTCTGTGTCACGTCTTCATCTCCTTCCAGCTGCAGACTGGTGGACTGACACAAACCTGTTGATGTTAGCTTGTTAGTTAGCTGTTAGTGGACATAAAGTTGGCAACACATAATTTAATGGAAGCTAAAGAGTCTGCTAACGGTTATTTATATATTAGTCAAGTCCTAATATGCTAACTGTTATTTATATTAGTCAARTGCTAATATGCTAACTAAAAATGTAGCTTTCCTAATGCCAAGTTTCTAAACAAGAAAAAAATAGCAACAGCTAACATTAAACAGCTACACAAGTAAAAATTATCAGCAGCTACTTGGTCCGCTAATGGTTTTGTGAAAAAGCTAATCAGCTAAAGAAAACTTAGTTTCACAGTTAGCTGATTAGCAGAACCATGACCACCTCTGGTGTTTGGGTTGACTGTCGGCTACGACCACAACAGCAACACTGACAAGACTTTAAATCAATAAAATCCTGAAATAAATGCACTTCAAGCCCATTTTTAAAACTCATCATTACCCTTGTTTATGTAAAACTGTGTATTTCTGTTTTCCATAACTGTGAATATTTTTTTAGTTACAAGTAATTTGGTTAATGCTTGACATTACCAATAAACAAATAATAAATCATAGCACATGACATTAACCAACCCTGACCGACCAACATGAAGTCCTCATAAACACACAGTCGAAAACCTGTTCACACACATTAAAATAAAGTTTATTCATGAGGAAGCTGCTGTGACTCATCAGAATCTGGTTATAAAACCTCCTTTTATATGAGTGATAATAAAAAACCTACAGTTGTGTTCTGATTAGCACAATGTGGTGGTTTGTTACTCACTTTTTTGTAACCTACTCCACTTTTTACTTTTATTTACGGCTCAAGAAAACATGACTGCAACATGTTCAACTTTCAAATGTTTCATGAGCTGCTTTAAGCTGAAAACATACTCCCTGAACTGCCGACGTCGGCACGGGTTGTCGCAGTTTAATGAC